TGTAAGACAGAGACACAAGGTCGTTTACAAAGCAATGTCCTCTTCCTTCTCTGTTACACAGTCTGTAACAATATTCCTACCATTTTATTGTTGACAATGGATAATCTATACTCATTCTTGCTTTGTAAAATATTTTCCCCTAAAACCTCAGTTGATGTTATATGAATACAAGTTTAAACCAACAAAAATATATTGTTGATATCTCCACCAGTACAAAAGCATTACAGCTGCCACTGCCCACATGCAATCTTGCACTCAAGGAATTACGTATATATGGCCTAAGTTTTAGTGGTACCACTAATCCAAATCCTTTAGGGGTTCTCTAGGACTTGAAATAAGAACTGTGCCAAGATATGTTGTAATTTTTTGGTAATAAAAATTAGTGTAATCATTTGTTTTTAGCATTATGTCAGTTACAACAGTTACTAAGGTAAAGTATTACCAGGCCAGCAGGAAAGGGTCAGGACCGGTTCTGGAACCAAGGAGAGTTTGCTTTCGTTGACCTCAGAGGCAAATCAGCACTTTTAGAAAGATTCAACCATCTTGTACCTCCTGCTAATTATTCTCAGTCTGAACTTGCTTTTGTGATGTACTAGTCTGCTCAGGACGTGTCACAAGCACACACTACTCTGCTTGCATTTTTATGTCAGTATCATCAGCATCTGAATGTGACATTTATTAAAATGATTAAGAAATAGTCAGGACACACCTTTAATACCTCAAAGATTCAGTGTGTTGAAATACACTGTGCTGGGAGTGGAGCACTCAAGGTTTTCTTCCTTCCTTCAAACTGAGCAAGTTCCCAGCAGAGCAGCAGAGTATCCATCACAGCTGCTGGGGCTGGTAACTAGGAGAGAAATGGCAGGTGGACTGGAATTGCCCACCAGACTTCAACATTTGGGTATTTAATACTGAGAACTAACAGAAACCTAAACCCATTACTGCCCATTTGTTTGCTTGCTTTGTTCTGCTCCCACACTGTTTATGTGGGCAGGTACACAGGCAGTGATTTATGTTTACTTGTTTGTCTGGACATTTAGTAAGATACCACAACTTATATCCACTGTGTGCTAGCACAGCATAAAAAAATGCTTTCAATTCCAGCCCATAAAATTTTATCTGTATAAAATATCAGAGAATACTCAGAAAATTAATTCCAATATTTACAAGAATTTTATGAAACTGTACAGATAAAACAGTTTCAATAACAAACCTCTCTCCCTTTAGCCAAAACTGATTTCTGGCATTTTATTTAAATAATTATATTTATTATGTTATGTATATGTTTGGTATGAGAATTCTAAGGGTAGGTTGGGGCTGGACATAAGGCAGAAATTCTGGTGGTAAGATACTCGAACAGGTTGCTCCAAAAATCCATGGCTGCCCATCCCTGGAAGTGTTCAAGGCTGGGTTGGATGGGGCTTTGAGCTAAGTGGAAAGTGTCCCTGCCAATGGCAGGGAGAGTCAAATTAGATAACCTTTGAAGGTCCCTTCAACCAGAACCATTCCATGATTTTTCATGAATGACACAATGCTACAGTACCATTTCCAGGCTTCAAAGAGCAGCTGGCATTTCTTAGCATAATGTACTAATAATTTGAAGGTATTATTTACACATTGAAATTAGATTGCTGAAAACTAGTATTAACGGGCACTTATTATTTCTCCTCACTAAAACCTTTTCTCTTGTCATGAGAAAAAGAAGTCCCGGAAAGACAATTCGATTGTACCCTTTTGAAACCCAATACATTTATTCTCATATTAACCTGTGGTTATGGAAGCAGCGTTCATGAGGAGGATTCCTCCTTTCCTTCCCAAGCATCCTCATCCCACTCCCGGCTCCGCATTCTGTTGCGAACTGCGCCACCTCGTGGCGGCGCGGCAGCACTGCCCGCAGCGGGGCCAGCCCAGCTCTGCCCGCAGAGCAGACAAGCCCGAGGGAACGGGACAAGCACCAGAAAGCGCTGGCACTGACAACTTACATTTACCTTACAGAAAATTTTGGCATCTTACAGCAAAACCATCAGTTCGGTGGAGAGGAACGAAAACCAAAAATAGCCTGGATGAATCAACATTGCCCAAAAAGCATGGAGGGCTTATTTCTTTTTGCCCACATTCAGAAAATATTTTAATGTTCAGGGTATAAGCATCTGTCACAGGACAGTAAATTATGGAATCTTGCTGGTAAGATAGATTGTTCCACATTGAAAGTGTTCAAAACTGAGACCTAAGAAGCCTGGCTTGAACAGAGAAGCCAGGTGTTCAGGGCTGCTTCTCTCAATAACTTTGGAAATGCAATGGAGTAAGAGGAGCAGGAAGGTTAAAACAGATTATTCAAATTGATGAATTGATTCTACTGCTGTGCTGCTGTCATAAGCAACAATTAACAACCCTGATAAATTTGTTTCTCCCACATGATACTTATTCTGATGTCTGGAAATATGAGTGAAAAAATGCTAGTTTCACCTTTTCATCAGCTTTAACACTACAGATAATAGTAATCTTTCTTAATACAACAATTTAACTTTCTAACTCCTAAGTGTTGACACATATTGCAGATGATCGAGAGGAACTTCCTACAAATGAAAAAACTGTACAATTCTGTGTTGTTTTTTTTCTCTTTTAAAAATGCTTTTTGCCTCACTTTCAGATTTAGTTGAAAGCCTGAGTTGGTAGCTATTAAGCAAGTGACCTGGCTGCATAGGACTAACTAGTATTCCTAGTGACTTTCCTAAAAAGTTGCAGTAAATTCTGAAACTTTATCTCATTTTCCTTGCTCAGTTAAAACACCAAAGGCCATGGTCATACTTTTTTGAGAGGTAAAACACTAATAATTCCTTTAAAACATGATAAAAGGTTTTGCATGCTTTAAGTGCTGATAGGCTGTTGCACTTGTAGCTTCTTGCCTAGTAATGAGGCAAGTAATGTGGCAACACTGACCAAGTCTCATTTGAGAAAATGATACAAATTCTACTATTTAATCGTTTTCATTATCTTCTTCAGCTAGCACCTTCAAGACCATGTGATTATGTTCATTTCATCATGTGAGCACAGCAAAAGGATCCCTAGGTACCTGCGCCAGCATGGGTGAATGTTTTTATTACAAATCACAACTTCTACTGATACATGACATAGAGTTATTTTGCTACACACAAGCAATTCAGATTTAAAGAAGTGCTAGTTAAGCCTTTCTGTATTTACCTTAGTGTAGAATCTCTCATGTAAAACCTCCATTTGTTTTTTCAAAGGGACAGGTGAATTGCCTCAGCTGTTGAATTCAATTTAACCAGTCACAGAATCTTCTGCATTGGAAGAGACCTCTAAATTCAGAGTCTGACCATTTACCCAGCAGAGCCAAGTCCACCACTAAGCCATGTCCCAAAGTGCCACATCCCCATGTCCTATAAATACCTCCAGAGATGGAGATTCCACCACTTCCCTGGACAGCCTGATCCAGTGCTAGACAATCCTTAAGGTGATGAAAGTTGTCCTCATATCTAATCTAAACCTCCCCTGGCACAACTTTAGGCAGTTTCATCTCATTCTATCACTTGCTACTTTGGAAAAGAGGCCAACACCCAACTTAAAACCACATCCTTTCAGGTAATTTTAGCCTCATGTATTCTGATAAAGATGTACTACCTTAGCAATGAGAAATCTTGTCCAAGTTTACAGAGTATTCTCATAGAGCAAAAGTTAAAAAGAACAGGCTTTGGGAAGAGGAATCGCAAACATGTCAGTCAAGAATGCATACCCAGTTTCTGACCTCCTCTGTTTTTCTCAGCTGGTGAGGTCTATTTATTTGTTGCCCCCTGAATGATGCTTGGGAAATAATGACTGCACACATCACTTACAGTTGCTTATCACCTGCAGTGACCTGCTGGCACCCTTTGTGACCTCTGAGGTGTGGCTTTTGGTATGACCTACAGCAAGTAAGAAGCAGAGCAGGTACTCTGGCGCTTAAAAAAATCTGGCTGGGAGAAAGAATTCCAAGTACTGAAGTGCTCTAAATTAAAAGAAAGCTGGAAAGTGCCCTTTTGTTAAAACTACTGAGTTGTGTTTTTCTGCTTTTCCTGGTGAGATAAACTTTATCTTCTTTTTTGCTGTGGTCCACTTCCTACAGGACAGATGAAGGATATGCTCTTCCTTCAAAGTATTTGACCTCTGTCCCAAGAAGGAAGCTGGCAATAAACCAAAACCTTAAGCTTTTGGGTGAGCACTGTAACCACTAATCTATTTTGGAAGGCTACAATTATAGACAGGAGGTGGGCAGCACTGTCATCACCTCCTGCTTCTGATTTTAAAACAGAAAAGTTATGACTGTATTTGGCAAAGAGTCCAATGCTATCTTTGTGCATTAGCCATATTCGGAGCACGCCTCCTTGAACAGGCCCCTTGAGATTTAAGGGGTGGAGAAGAGTGTTCTAAAAGACAACTTCAGCTTAATCCCTCCAGCTCTTTCTGCATTTGGGGGAAGAACAGAAAAACTGACTCCTCCAGAGGATGATTCAGAGAACCTAAATTTAGGTACTTGTTCTGAATCACTCCCTACTTAACCTGGGGAAGCTTCCTGGAGACAACTGATTCCACAGGCAAAGGTTATCCTCTGTGACAGTTCCTCTCTCAACATCCCCTCAATTGTCACTACTATTCTCACTGGCTTCTCAACTCCACCACAGTTTAGGCAGGAAGTTGTTGCTTATCCTCAGATACCTGCAAGGCACAAAGGGAGGCACATTGAAGATGTCCAAATACCCGGTTAGGAGCTGCCTAATTTCAGAATTTAAACTGCCAAATCATTAAACAAACTGATTTTTAGAATTTATAATCCACCAACAGTTTCATAAATTGTTATTGACTTCAATTAAGTTAAGATGCAAAGTTGGCACTTGGTGACTATTTTAGATTTAGCATTCCATCAAATTGCACCATGATTTTCCACAATTTTAAATAAATTTAGAGTTGTTTGTTGCTCTTTAAACAGAAGACATAATAATTATAAAGGGGAAAAAAAGTCTTTATTACTAAATATATTCATACAACACTTTTAAAGCATAAATCAGTATGTTTTGAAATTGTGGTAGCACTTTGTCACTCTTTAAATACTCAAGACTTATCGCTTTTTCCAGGTGAATTTCCGTCTGGGTCCCTCTTGACCAGGCTTTTTTCGTTCCTTCACACGTGGGTCAACTGTCAGTAATCCAGCTACAAAACACAGAAAAACACCCATTTATTTACTGCTACCAGTTAGTATTACAGGTATGCTAAGTGTGAGCAAATAACTCTGACTTTCACTAACATAATCTGTATCATCCAGAGGGCTAAAGGTTCAGAAATACAAAACACTCAAAGGAGTGTCATCAGATCCTCTAACTTCTCTTTAGTAACTGAACTTCATTCATATTTTCCTTTACACACCACTAAAATAACCACCCATTGTTTCTTATCTACCCATATTGCTTAAGCCCTTAAAGCAGTGGTCTTTAAACTTTTTTGATCACGCAGTCCTAGCAGCATTTTTGAGCATGTACTCCCAAATATATGTATTTATTCACTTATGAATTATATACAGCACATTCTTACTGAATCCCAACGGATCAGTTGCACATTCCCCATTCTGAGGACCACTGTTAAAGTGGTATACTTATATATAAGTACAAATACATTTATATATATAAGTATACTTAAAAGTGTATTTGGCAATGTCCCAAACATGTTCACAATTACCTGATCTCAGTAAAGATACCAAACTCATTACAATGTCTATTTATAAGGGTTTTCCTAGCAAGTTATACTTGCCAGTGTTGAAAAGGTACAGTCAAAGAAACCTGCAAAGCATGAATATGGCTTTTGTTTCATGGCTGGCAATAGAGTGAAAAAATCACAGCTGTTCTGCCACTAATACAAGCAGGTATTCTTGCTGCTAGTCCAGAAAGAGCATAGTTAAAAGCTCACAGTTAATAACACTGCATTTGCTGAAATAGCACAGACATCTCATCACCGAGAAGCATCAAATCCTGCAGTTATCTAAATAAATTCTATCTTATCCTAGGTAACTTGTAAACACTAAATACTGCAAGAGAGGAAAGAAGCTCCCTCAGTTTGGCTAGTTGCATGCAGTATGTTGCTCATTACTCTCTTTTCAAAGCCAACATTGCTCATTACTCTCTCTTCAAAGCCAACCCTCCAGCATTTATGTTAAAGAAAACTTTTTTAAAACATGAACAAGACACGACCAGAGAAGTAAAACAAACCACTATCTCAGTATCTTACAGCTCACTAATGTCTGATCCAAATTTATTTAGTAGTGAATACACATTCATGTTTTGTGATTCTATGTTGAGGCAATATAAGCTGGTTAATAGACCTAAAAGAGGTCATGAACAGATGGAAAAATGCTTGAGAAGTCATCCAATACGTACACAAAGGATGCTAGGAAAAAAGTGAAAACAGTCTATAAATCAATGCACATCCCTTTCATACAATACACAAGGTTTCACTGGGATTATTTACTCAAATCTGATCCTTAATGATCCTTGTATTAATTCTGTTAATTACCAGAAACACATTAAGAAACACTGAAATCATTTCAATTCCTACCTTGCCTCATGAATTCCACCTCCTTTTCTGTCACAAAACTCCTCAAGGCTTTTGCAGAGGCTAAACGTATTGCTCCAGCCTGTGCAGATCTTCCTCCACCAGAGACTGTGCAAACCATATCATGTTTTCCAATTCTGCCAAGAAACTGGAAAGGGAACAATAACTGTTCCCTAAGGGAAAAAAAAGAAGAAAAATTTAAAAATTCATGTGCATAAAGTTCTATGCTATGCACATTTCTTATCATTGTATATTAAAAAACATAGTTAACTTTTGGGCAGAGATCCAGAAAGACATTCATATCTCATCCAAATCAATAGGAAATTAGCAGCTAGGAGCATATTCCAACTGCCAATGGTACATACTTTAAGTTCAGTTTTACAACTACTTTTATTCCACTACTTCTCTAAGGAAGCCAAGATCCATCAGCTCTGGATATTGAAACTGAGCAACCTCTCCCTTTATTCTTGAGCTTAAAAATCACAATATAAAATAAAAACAAAAATCACATTAGGAATAGAAACTTTATGTCAGCCTAATGAGAAGTCTTCTCTATATCAGACTGTGCACATCCTCCAAAATCTGAAGCTTTATATGAAAAGCCTCACCTTGTTTGCTTCCACTATGTTACTGTACACCAGAGTAATTACACATGCATGCAATTTGCAAATCTCTTACAAAACACTTAGAGATGATAATTATTATTATTAATTTTAAAAATAAATTTCAAGCCCTTTCTAAGGGGACTAAAATTTGAACTATTAGAACACTCCGTGTTCTTGGTTTTTGCATCCCTTCAGAAAAGGTGAGGCAAGGAGCACAGAGCAAGGCTTGCCTATCAGTAAATTCCTGAAAATTAGGAGGAAATGCAAGACATTTTTATAAAACAGGTAATTATACAGAGACAAGAACATAGAATCAACATAGCATCAACGTGTAACTGTATGGCATTACTTTTGCTGGAATAATTTAATTACAGTAAAATACAGCTTTCATAGTGCTCTCACCTGTCCTGCAGCACTGGGAAGTAATGTAAAATGTCTATTCCATTCACTGTAATTTTCCCAGTCCCATTGTCATAAACTACTGCAGTAGCTCTGGCAGTTTTTCTTTTACCTTAAAGAAATTAAACCAAATCTTTTATGAGGCTTCAATATTCTCCAGAACTTCAAGTGCCCAAGTAGTTAAACAAATCTCATCACATTCATACAGTGCCAGCTGTTTGGTTTTACAGGCTGAGGTAAGAAAAAAAAAATGCAAACAAAGAACAACTATCTTTCAATGTATTTTAATCAATGTCTGTTAAGTGGGGGAGAAGTGTGTGTTGGGAAACCAATCTCCTTCAGCACAAATGAAGCAATCATTCTGATAAAGGAATTATGAAACAAATAAAACATTCTTCTTCATTTTGGGGGTGATGGGGCACAAACAAGACTGGTTTTGAACTTATTAAACCCGGTGGCTTTTCTCAAATCACACGGGTTGCATGCTCATCAAACTTCATTAACTACTGTTCTGAAGATACTACTGAAAACCAGTGCAAATTAAATCACGGTTTGCTGCTCTCACATCTTTGCTGTCATGTAACCTTGAAGACAACCCAGGTAAAGCAGCTCTCCAGCCATTCTGCCCCGCAGATTCTCTGGGACCTTTGTTCTTATTATCATCTGCTGCCTGCTGCATAATACCCATCATCTCTAAGATTCCTCTTAAATTTACAGCATAAAGTGTGTGCACACATGCTTTGTCCAGAAAATCAGCAGCCTTTTCTATACACATTTGTCACATTTTTTCTATGCACTCATTCATATCCTATATCGCTTCCCAGCTGTGTGTCTCTCCAATGAAAACATAACAGCCTGTGTTTAGAAGATACAGAGACCTTCATACTTTTGTCTAACATCCCCTCCATCTCGGTATGAATGATCAATATCCCATTGTCCATCTCTGTCCCATATTTAGAAATTTCCTCTTCACACTTTCCTAGGTGTTTGTAAATATCCAAATGCCTTGCTATTTATTCTTTGCATCTTCAAAGTGCCCCTTTGCTGGACTGCCAACAAAATCATGATAAAGGTTACTCACTAGTCTAAGCATGCCATTTTTATACTAAGCAACAACACTGTTACATCCATGGAACTATTCACATTTGTTTGTGCATTCCTCTACTCTTTATGTTCGGCAGTCAGCTCTGCCCAAAAATCAAAGTCCTTTTGTATCCTACAACCTGTAACCCAATGGGGTCCTCTCTACAGAGCTATCACTGTATAAAAATACATATAAAAAACAGATGATAGTAGTCTGGGCCAAAAATTTGTACTTTCTGACCAGTCCATGTCTTAAGTTGGTGTTCCATAACATCACTAACAGCTATACATGCAGTATACATACATATATGAGCATATAAAATTAAGTAGTGACACTTTCAGCAGTGTTGTGCATTATATAAAGAAAGCAGTGTGAAGAGGAAAAAAGTCTGCATTGTTACAAATCAACAAGAAATGTTTACCTTCCCCAGTGCTGAAGGCCACTCCTCGCTCGTCATGCTGCAAGGGCTCAATAACCACCTTCTGCAACTGCACAGGAACTTCTTTGGAAAACTTCTGTATATACTTCTCCTCGATGTCAGCACATGGCAATGCCACCAATTTTTGTAAGAGTCGAATAAATCTTGAGTACTGTAAGACAACAAGACTTCATTAAAGTATGCAAGTGTAATTGCATTCGCGAAAACTTTCTATTTTTATTTAATGGATCTTTGCTACTTCACTTTTATTGATGATTTTTGACAAGATGACACTTTTGCACCTACATGCTGATTTAAGAACAGCATGCAGTTGCATCATTTTCTGTGTGACTAAAGACATCTAGTTCTTTCTTCAGAAAACAATTAAACTTTACTCCAAAGCATAACCAACCCCTTTTTAATAAAGGATTACTGTATTAGAATGAAGTTCATCTCACTTAAAAGAAAGAAAAGAAAACATTGGAGGGATGTCTTAATTATTTTATTATTGTCTTATTAAAATAGGAAAAGATTTTCACTTGCTTTTTAGTAAGTCAGCATATTCACTGATTTGGAAATAATTTTATTTCCCTGAACTGAATCTCATAAATGATTATATTTCATAACATATACAAAAAAATGCCTATCTTTGGCTGTTCAAGCTGAGTTACTTTAATGTTTATGATTTCCTTTAAAACTGAACAATCAAGGTATTTAAAAATTCAAGAGATACTTGACTTAAAGGGCAACCTCTTGAAATAAATTATCCTTCGCTACTGTGTGGTTCTCCTTCCCCCTTATACCTCCCTCCAAAGTTCTTCAACATGTGATTAAAGAGTACACACCAGTGTGTTAACCCATTTGTAACAAAAGCTGGGATGTCCTGTTACCAAGACTTACTGGCAGGAGCTCCAGACAGCTGTCACCAGATATAAAGTTATCATACCATCAAAGATGGATTTTTCATATAGATACCATAACCTGATTTTTGAAGTTTTTTTCACTTACAAGCAATTATTACAAGTATTTGTTCTTTTCTCTTTTACCAGAGTCTTCTCTAGCACAAAATTACTACTTTTCTTGTAACTTAACAATAGTCCCTGAAAACTACTTTTACCTAACAATATGACACAGACTTGTGGTAAAGCCCTTGAAGAGCAGAAATATGGAAATAAAAACATGTAGAAATTATAGATACTATAGAAGTAGAAAACTTCCAACAGTTTTCACTTGGAGAGCGCAAAAGGAAAAAAATCAATAGTTCTGAGTTTGTTTAATAATGTAAACATCACTGAAATTTTTCTTGCAGTGGCAAAAGGTAAGAATTTGAGCAGGAAAGACTGGCAGCTTATACTGAGGCATTTCAAATTTATTTAAACAATGTATTTTACTATAGACTCAGGCTTTGTAGTCTTACATGGGAGAGGCCAGTACAGAGAAGGGTTTAGTGTAGGTTTTTGGTTGGTTGGGGTTTTTCTAAATTTATTGCAATGTACTTTTACAGATGTAAAATGTACTAATGTACAGAATGTACTAAAACCAAGCAGTGAAGAACACCAAACTGTTTGGTTGTACAATTAGACCTGGCACTTGGAGAGGAAAAATAGCCATTCCAAATGCAGGAGCTACTGAAAATACTGAAGTCTTAATGGCTTCTACTGAGAGGTAGAGAAAGACTCCTGGGTATTATCAGGATGGAGAATTTACAACAACTACTTCTAACTGATGCTTATGGACCACAATCTGCTGGAGACCTTTTTACATCCCCCACAGACAAGGAAGCCATCACATGCCACTGCACCAGATGACAACTGAGCAAAGGGCATGTTTGCTGCTGTTATGCTATTTTTGCAAAGCTGTTGTTCACAGGACAGACAAGATTGAGGAACACTGCTTCTAGGTGAGAAAACACTTGGAATGTTCAGACAAATAGAGTTACATTCCCTGGTACTGTCATATTCAAGCTTCCAAAAGCTGGCCACATAGACTGAACCTGCTGTGACAAAATCTAATGCTCTTCAGGGGACTGTAGGGATAAGCTCTGAGTGAGAAAAAAGTGTATGACTATTAGGATGAATAGTCTTATACCCAGAGAAAGATGAAAAGGATGACTCCAAACCTACAGAATGATACAGTTTGCAGACACTGAGGAAACTGCAAAACTCCTCCCTCCCATCATATTCGTGTAACAGGAGATATCTGTATCAAACCACAGATCTATACAGCTTTTTGTCTTCTGTTATTTGATTTTGTAGTCAATCACTAAGAAAAAGGGCTCCTTATTTCTAGTAAGCCCTCTGTGATTTTTCTATCATTACCATGTCATCCTTAACATTAAATAACTCTGTACAGGTTAGCTATTGTACAAATCCATTGCATTTCCCCATGTTGAATATTTACCCCTTCTCTACAATCAGTAACAGCAGTTCTAGCCCTGTCTGTTTTTCATCTGTAACTATAATAAATGACTATTTCTATAATAAATTCTTATAACCCATTCCTGACCACATAATTAGATAACAAGGAACAAGTGCTCTAGGTCTCACAATGTTGCCAGGAGAAAAACTAAATTATGGTAATAACAATGGAAAGTTCTTAAGAGTTCTGTATTGTGCTAGATAAAAGATATCTACACAAGTCACTTCAGAACAACATGAATGTGACAGTGCTGTGAACATATGCAGACTTCATCAGAAGACAGAAGACTCTTTTGAAGTGGACCTCCTTCTGCATAATACCTTTCCAATATCCAAAAACACACCCAGAGTCCAGATTTTTAAGACACAAGCCTCCTTAAGATTGGGAAGATTAATTACTTACATCATCATCTGACACTTTTTCTAACAACATTTCTTCCAATTCAATCTTAGTCAGCCATCTGCTGCCAGCCAGGTTTCTGTTTAAAATATCACATATATTCTTCCTTTAATTAACCATGCAATTAGAGTTACATCACAAAAGACCACACATACAGTCAGTCTTTGTTCAGAAATACATTTTCCATTACAAATGAATGCAGATCACATTCCTATAGTAAACATAAGAAGGCCTACGTTAATTTTAAAAGATTTGCCTTTTGAAAGGTGTGGTAACTTCATGTATTGAATTAACCACATGACCATTATGAGTGTCAGCTATGCATTATTCATATTATTGAAGTCAAAGATTGAGTTAAAGTAATACTGTAATAGGAAGTGATCTTCCCCCCAGCTTACGACTTACTTTTAAAAGCCTGCTGCCAGGAAAAATTTGGTATACTAGCAGCACAGAGCAAAATCAAAGGCAGAATGTTAAAATCAAATTCCTTTGCCACTGGTCTTTACTTTTCTGATCAATATAAAGAACAGCACTAGCAGTAAGCATAGTCAAAGTACTAACGTAGCAGTGACACCCTGTGTTCTATCTACTGTGTAATCTTGAGCTGCTCAGCACAGTGACTGCACTGATGGTAGCAAAAGCAGAAATTTCTAAGATAACAGCCTCATACAGGAGAGATGCTAAGGCAAAGAAAAACCAGTGCTTGAAGTAAATGTTTGGAATATATATGATATGAAGTGACCAACTAAACAGCCATAAAAATACATACCAACATTATCAGGTAAATTTAAAGCGAATATGTAACTAGCTTCTTAAACTCCTCGGGTTTTTTAGAAACAGTGTTTTCAGCAGCATGAAGGAAGCTGTGATTCAGTAAAACACTCCTTCTGAAGGTGTTTTTAAGGAGTACTACTTCTCAAACATGCATATTAATGCTTTTCTGAGTCAGGACGTGAGAAAGGATTATTTAGAAACAATGCAGATTTTAACAATGATTTTAAAAAGCTTCCAATCCTGATCTAGTATATACAGGTATATACTTACATTTACATACTGTTACTTGCTACTTCCACTAAAGCTGGAAAAAATTTCTTGCATGTGAAAAGCTATAAACTTTAAGTAGTTCAGATCAGGTCCTAACCCTACAGTTAATATTACAGAATGGATTCACAATAGATTATTTTCTGGGAAAAAAACCCTAAACCAAACCACTAACTCCATGCCTTCAAACAAAAAAACCAGCCCTTCCCACTAACCCTCTGCCTATACTTAGGAGATAAATTATCCTATCCAGACTAATCTCAGAGGAAGTACCATATCCAGTGTGAGAAGTAAGTATCAAAAATTCTTTAAATTCTCTGAGCTTTACAAACCTAGCAGGGAAAAAACCTTTCATCTCTGACTAGCTTTAGGTCGTTTTTCACATCAGTAAATCCACTGGCTGAGCTCTGTGAAGAGTCAGGCTATTTTTCAGCAGCATGCAGCAAGAAACTAAATTCATTTGTTTTCTTGTCTGCTCAGAACCTAACACAAATCTATAATAAAACATTTTGTGGGTCACAGAATGCTATTTATATCATGAAGAAACATGAACTTCTGTTATTTAAGAAATTGAAATAATCTCAGCAAATTAATCCTTTCTCTTCCTAACATAAATAACAAATGGCTGAAATGAAGAAGTGACAAACCAACACGATGTGCTCCTGGAGCAATGCATAAATCTGGCTAGAAAATACACAGCAAGAACAAAGATAAAAACAACTTGGGACTGGGAAAAAATAACTATACAGAAAAGCAGTAAATGCCTAAACCAAAACTTCCTAGCTGTAGCCATTTCTTTTAAACACTTACTTAACTTAATTTTCTAATTTAAAATCCTTGCAAGAAATCTCAGAAAAATCAAGACTACAGTCTAAGAGGAGCAAACAGCACCTAAAAGCATATCCTGATTGGATACACCTAGAAACCAACAAATGTAGATTTCCCATAGCTTCTGGTTGACATGGAGCTTTTCTGTCCAGTGGCTAACTAGATGAAGAGCTTGCTGTGCATATTAGGGAAGTTAAACAGAAAAAAACAGACACTAAATTCAATTACTAATAGTGGTAATAATTAAAGAAATCCAGCCAAATGAGCTTTTCTAAAATCACTAAGTTTTGATGATTTCTGTTCAAAGCCATTAGAAGAAAAATAGTGAAATTAAGTATTTTGAGACTCTTAAATATAAATATTGGTAAGTTAAAATACTCAAGAACTGTAATTAAATACTATTAAAGAGCTCAGCCTTAGATCTTGAGATTTTAAAAGCAGGAACATTGTAGTTGGTACTTTAAAAGCCCATGTTTTTTTAATAAAAAGTTTACCTCTTTTTTTTTCGAAATGCTTTAATAAAAGACATAATTAGAAAAATTCATACAGAATTTATGTTTTATATATATATAAAACATTCATATATATGAATAGACATGTTTTATAAAGAAACATAGAATTCTGGATATTTTCTGTTCATTTTCAAATCACACTTCAGAACTTTTACAAAGCAAAGAATATTGAAAAGAGCAGAGAGAGTCTAAAGAGTAAGATAAATAGATGGGATTTCTCTACTCTAACAATGAGAAGTGAGTGCTCCACACATATCTGGTAAAACTTTTCAACATGAAATTACCATACAAATATTACACAAGGAATAGAGCAAAAGCCTGAAAATGTGTTTGAGGAAAAGAAGGCAGGTAGCATGGGGAACTACCAGAAGTGCCAAAACAGAATATGAAAGCACATTAAGAAAACTACTACCAATATTCATTCTAATTGGAAGCTTACCTTTTTTCCTTCTGAAGAGGAAGGTCTTGAGCTGTCAGCTGGTCTTGATGTTTCTGAACATTCAGAAATTTTTCATATGTTTCCTTAAATGCATATGGAAGAAGTATTTAAATAGATTTTTTCATTTAATATTTAAATTTTGCTACTTAGAACAAATGTTGTTTAAATGGTTTTAAAATACACTTAAAATACAGAGGTCAGAGAACAAGCAGAGCTCTGCAAAAAAAATCATGTGCAGTTCAAAATGACTGATTTTGAATTCTGCAACAGTGTTTCTTGCCTTCTTACATATGCTTGTAAAAAAAAAAATCTCAGCTGTATACAGAAAGACAACTACATTTGTATAATGAATGCAACTCCAAAACATACTGCACAATAATTTCATCAGTGCATTCACATTTTGGTTTGACTTCCTCAAAATATTGACAAGGTTTAAGATGTATTTAATTTCATTTAGTTAGGATTTTTGTACATGTAGAAGTGTCAGATTTACTGGTGGTCTGTATCAGTCACAACTTCTTACCCTGGCATGTCTACATGGATACAAAGTTGCACATTTATCACAGTAAGCATTTCTGTTCTTTGAACTGTGCAGACGGACCTACTCTGAATTTTCAGTATTTTTAAACAGTTTTCTCAAAATTCTTAGCTATATTATTATTTTCAAAAAATGGCCTGACAGTGATTTTAGGGGTTTTTTTCAGTTCAGAAACTTATAAAGACTACTTGTTCTAAAATATAACCTCTAATACTCTTAATTACAGTAGTGATCCAAATGCAAAGGTAAATAGGATTATTTGAAGAAATAATTATAAACTATATTGAAACAACAGGACAGTTGTGCTACAACCAAGTACTTCTATGCCAAATAATTTACTTTCATTTAGGAGTGAAATAGAAAGCTTATAGTCACTTTCCTATACTGTACTAATATGAATTTTAGCAAATACTACAGACAGCAAGAGTATAAGAATTAGTGGGAAAAAGCAACAATAGTTTAGGGATTTTTATTTGTATTACTTAAAAAAAAAACAGTAAAGAAAGAAACATGAGATATCTCTGTGCTGTCAGATATTAACTAATGAAATATTAGTTCTTAACATAAAACTGGGATTTATAACAGAATGCAGTGAAATATCTGCAACAGCTTAAAAAGAACAAAAAAATAGAAGTCCCTTGCTTAGTTATAAACACCTACTGTTCAAGCTGATTTTTTCATTAATATAAAATACACCTGCACATACACTAAAAATATTTGTACTAAAAATGTATGAACAAAGAACAGATTGTTATCTGAGCTGCACTCAAAGCATTTAAATAGGGGCAACTCACTGAAGTCTCTGACGCAGGTCACTGATGATATTTTTAATGCCACAATGGAACAAAATATTTTTAAAATAATTCCACAGTTAAAAATCTTGAAGTACAAATTCGTTCACTTTTGAGACAGCAAGAGAATTCATACATTATAGCAGTAAGCCTTTCAGAAATCCTTTCTCTTTCATGAGGTAATTGTATCAGATAGGAACTAGGAAAAAAATTCAAATTAAAAAAAGTTTCTTTATCCTCAAACACAGGCAACATTACATAAAAGAGCAGCAATCCTATTTTCAAGTATTTCCAAACCTCACAAATATAACCATAGTCCTCTAAGGAAACAGGATACAGTATTACTACTGTGGGCAAGATTTATGTCACATCACTCTAGTAATCTTAACCCCATTCAGAGCTGAGCATTAGGCTTCAAAAATTATTGCCTGTACATTAAAAGCAAACACAGTTTAGGTTAGAGAGCATGAGGTGTGCCTGCACCAAGCAATTTTTAGGTATCTGTAGTTAAGTACTGGTAAAGAATGAGTTTGGAAGCTTGTGCTTGGGACCACAGAGTGAGGGAAGAGAAGGGGAAGGAGGGCTGTGTCTGTCCCTCAGCAAGCTGGGGAGAGCTCAGCTGGAACAGTCAGAGATTGAACCTGATGAGCTCCATGAGTGTCTGCATTTGGAAGAAGTCAAGCCAGGCACAAAGATGATATTTTGGTGTCAGATGCTTAGAATTCTGACGTACTGGTTTATCAGGTCTTATAAATGTGTATGGAGGTTTTTCACCTTACTGCCACTCTTGGCTTACCTCTTGCCTTCAAAGGCAGAGGGTGTCACCACTCTACCTGCAAAAGCAGCCTCCTGTCTGCCTCCTCACAGTCACCCATTCTCCTCCAATGCATAGTTATTTATTAGTATGGTCAGCAAAAATACATGAACAGGAGCTCAACACAGCTACAACGCAGCTCCTTAAAAAAGGACACCTGGAAGTAATCACAGCTGTGACCTTAAGAGACTGACTACAGTCAGAATTGCTTCTAAACAGCAACTCAAGAATTTTCAAATTTTCAGGTAACATGACACAAGTCAGAAAAGACTTAAGGATTTTTTCATATTTGGAAATGATTGATAAACACAGCCAAATAAAATAAGATATGGGTTACGATCTACCACTTTCTAGCCTCAGAAATTAATTGTCAGTTACAATGACAAAAGGGTTTAGAGCAGCAGCAACAATAAAATTTTCCTGAAGACCCTCCCTAGGTAATCCCAAAGAACACCAACACTCCACAGCCTGTTTAAGTTTTAAGAATGTGCACTTTTAAGAATTAAAATTATCTCTTTAAACTGTTCTGGTTAAATTACAGCAATCATGTCTATTCAGACAAAGAACCCTTTACTCAGGAGATGAAGTCAAGCAACATTGAAAAGTAGCATTTTAAAGTAATTCCAAGTGTAAGAGAAATGTTAAATATAATTTCCTACATATTTATGGCAATGAAAGTGGACTTGGAACTCTTTATAAAATTTTGGTCTGAAGTACTAAAAAAAAAATAAAAAAATTGATGCATGTATCTTATCTCTGTATAGAGATAAAGCCAACAGACTGAAAGAACCACTCACATGTGAAGTAAAGTATGTGGATGAGCCTTTGCAAAATCAGGAATCACATGTAATGCCCAATAATTTATCTGACAAATCTTCACTCCCCAACGGCTAAAGAAAGCTTCTGAAGACACACTTGCTTTTTCAAAGCTGGCAGGTGAAGATTTTACTAATCACTTGAGGATTCAATAGTCCAATTCATGACTGTACACATCTGTGTGTCTTGTAAACTCAGCTATTACACAATCAAAATAGCTGATTTTACAAGATTGACTATGTACTGAAACGCTTCCATTTCTAATAGAGATCAAATTTCAGATCTCTACAAGGACACTTAAATAATTAAAAATTATTTTACTCTGCATTAAAAAATAGGGAAGAAATCAGCAAATGAATCCCTAAAAGAGATTTTTACGGGGAAAAAAATTCTGTCAACATTTTAGTTAAGATATGCTGCAGAGCCCACATTTTACCTCAGTTTGCACTTTACTTTGTTTCTTGTGCTTTGAGTTCAGCATACACTTTGAATGGTTTTAAGTTTTGGAATATTTTTGAGAGTTAAAATGCTCAATTGTTAGAGTATTTACTTCCATCCATAAGCCCTGATATTTCTGAAAAATGTACAAGCATGATTACATGGAATTACTATTTTCCTGTGCACAATAGTATGAAGATACCATTTTGTCTTGTTCTGCACATTACAAAAATGGTATTATTCTAAAAATCTTTTAAGAGAAATGATGATCAAATGCACTATCAAACATTTGTGAAATGGTGTTTCATGCAATGAATAGTTTTTTGTATATCAGAAGAAAAATAAATGGTCCTTTTCCCTACAGCTAAACTTTATTCAACAAGGAGAACAACAACAATAATGCATGTAACAAATATCTCATATAATAGTTCATTTCATATTGAAAGCCAAACATTTATATTGGCAATTATAATATAGACAAAGATAGCTTATTTTCAGTAAGTGGACAATACTTTTTATAAGTGCTAACTAAACAATAATGCTATGCCCAGTTATATAACTAACAGGTAATAAAATTCAAGTTCCACATGAGCCTACGTAATTAATGGCATACAAGTTTAAGCTAAATAATATGTTTATCTTGCTTATTAGATTTAATGTAGCAATTTAAAAGACATCTTCAAATCAGATTGATTACTTACACCAGGCTGTATTAACATACAACTCTTTTCTAGACAAATTAATTAGCTTTGAGACTTAGGAATACATTTTGTTAAATACACATTAGTTTAATAAGTGGCTAAAACAATGTTGGGAATTTCATGCAGATTTTGGCTCTCATTTGGCCAACTTAGTAAAAAAAACCCTGTTAAATCTCACTTAATGGATTTACATTTAAAGAAGCCTATTTAATGAAAATATTCAGAAACAGTTGAAGAACACTCAAGTATCCTATACTAATGAAAAATGCATTTGTCAAGGCCATTTGTTTGAAGGTGGTTGCCACGCTCTTAGAAACAAAACGCGCACTATACTTGCAGAGATTTCCAAGGCAAGCTTGCATCTCTAACTGCTAGGAAGAGCTAAAAATAAACTTGTGCTCCTTGTAAAATTTGTAATTTCTTCATTATGATGGAATGCAACAAAACATCTTGCCCTTGGGTTGCTCTGTTTCAGCCAAAACAAATGCAAATGGCTTGTCAGATGACAGCTGTTTGATAAGGCTCCTCTACAAGACCTGCATGCTTTACTTTTTTCCGTGAAACTTAGGATGAAAGGCAGAAGGGAGGAAGAGAATTAATGTAGCATACAGTCTAAAGGCAATGCTACAACCGTGATTAAGTAGAAAAGTTAAAAGGCACAGATTTTCCACAGCCTTGCTGTGTGCAACCCATCCGTGTAACAAGTTGACAGGCCTAGCGCGTCAGCTCCATCATCCTCTCCGACAGCTAAAACGCAGCATTGCATCCCTTTTCAGAGAAAATTTGCGTCTGCACCATGAAGCGTTGTACATTATTTCTTAGCACTGCAGGGGGCTCAAGTCCATATGGAACCTTCACAAATATTACCACAGATCAAACCAGCAGCGTTTCGAGGCAGATTTGACATACCTATTTAAATGAACAGCAGGGGTCCTCGGGCTGCCTCGGGCTGTGCAGGAGAAAACCTCTGTGGAAAGCCTATGCTGCAGCTCCATTACTCAGCAAAGACACTCTCTACATTTATCATTCATTTCATTTCTGCCAGGGCAAGAAGCTCATTTGCCCAAGGTCAGCAACAAAAAAAAAAGAAAAAAAGAAAAAAAAAAAAAGTGGGGGTGTTTTTTATTCTCCCAAAGAAATAAATGTACCTGACAAGAGGGGATTTTGTCCTTTGGGTACACAGAACTCAAATAAATATCAGATCATTCCAATAAAAACACTATACTCAGTATAGCTGTGCACTGAATTTGTCACCATTTGTTTTTCTGACAACTGACTAACCATAGAACTAACTTCTTAAAACTATCTAATGAGGAAATAAAATCTGATGTGAATATCCAATTAAATATTTCTGCATTATTATATTGTACATTATTAATGCTTTTGTCTTCTATAAGTACATGTAAGAAACATTAATGTCTTCTCACAGACTCTTCTAAACATGCAGATAATGCTTGTGCTACTGAGGATCACAGATATGGAAGGTCTGTTCACAACTCATGTCAAGACTCAGGGTCTAGTGGTGTTCTATTAGATAGAGCTTTTTTCATAAAGGTAAAAGATGCAGATCCCTTACTCCTGGAACCATATTAATCAGAAAAAGCCTTAAGTTTGCATGAATGGAACCATCTTAGAAAAATCAATTAAGCAGTTTAAATGCAAATTTTCTTCACACTAAATGTCAGCACAAATAACATTTCCTATAGCTTTGCCCTTCACAGAGGAAAAAAAAGAACTATTTTTTATTCTACAATGAACTTTGCTAGAACTAGCCATTTTTGTTGTATGTGCATTCTCCACTTCTAATCTTTTGCTACCAACTACAGTTAGAGCCTACAGGAAAGCGTTCAGACTATTCAAAACCAGTCCATAGTCAAAACTGTAAAATGAACCAAAAATTAAAGGAAGAACTATTATGTAGTGTGTTCTCTTAAATGTGACATAAAGAAGTTCATAATAATGAATATTGTGACACAAAAACATACACTGCATGTAGCTTCAGATGTGATATTATGGCCTTCTGTGAAAACATAACTAAAGCCAGGAGATCCTGGGTACATCTCTAGAGTAACATGCACTTGACTGGGAGCTGCCATTATTTATTACAGACAACATACTTACATGCATTAATGAATAATACGACTGCTTGCCAGTATAAAAGAGGAAGTGAAATGGTCGGCCATCTTCTCCCCACTGGATTTCTAATGGAAGGCAAGATTAGACAAGAAAGCAACATACAATCCCTAAAAAAAATTCCCTTGTATCTAACTGCTTAAGTTATAAACCTCTGTCATAATACTGTCTTTCTAAATATCAGAGAACAAAGACATTTTACAGGTGTTCAATCTGCCTGGAAATCTAATAGTTCAGACAATCTTTTTTAAAGCTAATCTCCCTCTGCAACTATAAGAAAATATTAACATTATAATTGTAAATAACATTTTACATAAGGAAATCCCTCATGTACAATTCTAAAAGATTCTATAGGTGGTACTACAAATAGAAGTATACATTTTAGTGTAAAAAGAAGTACAAAGTAAGAGACAACTGAAATCTACATTGAAAAGTGAAATATTAGCAGCTCTGGCAAAAACAGTGCTAAAACAAAGAAGGTTTTCATTTTATTAGGTTTTATTTATAATACATCTAAGCTAAACTAAGTATGTGTACATTTGTGTTTTGTGGGCAACAACCATATTCACAACTTGGGTGAGTTTGGAACTCATTTTTGTCATTACATTTGGGATATTTAAATACAAAGACCTATCCTACAGTTTACATAATTAGTTCAGCAAGAAAACAAATGTTTCATATTAATTTAGAATATCCGGTGTGTTCTATTCATTACAAAATATTATTTAAAGTCAAATTTTGACTTTGGAGGAAAAAAAAAGGCAAACTTAGATAACATAACAAAGATCTCTTTCAAATAAAGAAAAACTACAAAAATAAAAACCTGGGAGCTTTTCACAAATTGAACTGTAGAGAAAGCCACAGCCATTTTATCCAGTGAAGTTAATTAAAGCTACCTGTAAACTGAGGGCAAAGATAAGACTCCAGAAACCTGTCTGATAAGCACAATATATATTGGATTGGAACATCAAGATATATATACATTTAGAAGCTGAATGTAAAGATACAAAACTTAGCAGAAAAGAAAGAATACAGGGGATTTTTACCCACATATACTACTAGTGTGATTTTCCATGTATGCAGTTGTGAAGCCATATTTTGTTGAAAAAACTGTTGTGGAAACTTTCCAAAGTATAAATTTAAGTTTTTGTACTTCAAAGTTATTGAAGACGCAATACATAGACGAGACAAAGCTGCCTTAGAAGAGATACTTATTGAATGTGTTATTTTTAGATATAAATACAAAACTAAACATTTATACTAATTTGCTCTTACAGTCCTCAGGATATTGCTAGCATTTCAAAGAATGCTTTAGTCCTGAAAGCATATAGAATATTAGCTTAGTTCTTCCATAAAACAGCCCTTGGATTTTAAAACTACTAAATGATTAACTCTCTCCTACCCTTTCAATTTTTACTTTTTTACTTCACAATACAGGGAAGTTGAAAAATAAGGCATGATATCATTTGAAAGCTGAAAATCCAGAATTTCAGATAGTTTAGACTGCTTTCCAAAGACATGAAGTCCCCCAAAAAACAAGTATCAATTATTCCAGCAACAGGAAGCAAGAAGGAAAATTTTAAGATTTTAATGATAATCAGAAATGTTTATCTCGGACCTGATAGCTCAGTGAATGTAGAATTTCACACCCATGCTACTAGTTCATACCAAATACTAGTCAAAAACAGGTTTTGACCTTATCTTTCAAATGTTCTATTTAAAATTAAATTGCTGATTTTAGTGAACTGACCAACATACTGACATCTGGGACTCTATACGGTGTCTCAGGAGCAAGACCAAAGACAGTATGGACAGACATGCAGAGTTAGGACTTTAAGGTCAAAGAACTGATTAGGAGAGGTTCCACTCTGTCTATTATTTGAAAAATTCAAACCTGTAATTTCTCATCTTCTAGAGCAACAAAGTTACAAAGAAAACTCTTGGTTTAAAATAGTATTAAGAATATTTTACGGAGGTGATAGACAGCTCTGACAAAAAGCTACTGAATTTAACAAAAGGTTTTCCCATGACTTCAAGAGATTCTATGCATCATTCTATTTATTGCTTATTTTTAAACAATGAAAAACATTTATCTTAGTCAGTTAACGCAATTTCTGAGAAGATCAGTGGTACTCTGGAATAGACTGATAATTTTTATCCTAAACCACAGAGTATCAGAATAGACTTTTACTGCTCATGTTTTAGTAGTCATTAGGAATATAGAGAAAAGAGCCAATCCATAAAAATAAGAAATTCTACATATGCAACAATCCTAATACTTAGAAATAATAAAAAAAGTATCTAAGAACACTTACTTCTCTGCTCTGGAAAAACTTCAGTAGGATGCTGTAAATAAATGAAAAATATCAGCAAAAGGGAAAAGTTACTCCAAGTAACATGCTACAGTTATTCAGAAATGCAACAAGAAATCCTACCTTCATCAGAGGTCTGGCTTGTTTGTCGAATAAACCAGAAGGAAAGAGATAGGCAATAGCTCTCTGAAAAGAAGAAGAAAGATCTTGTATGTGACTTTTTTCCCACAAAAGCATCATCAAAAACATTTATTATGTATTTTCTTATGCAAAAAATAGCAAATAGCATAATTTTTGTAGAGCAGGCAACAAATCAGTAAAAAAATATGACACATATGTGATGTGCTGAAAAGAAAAGCAGATAATTTCTTCTGAAATTCTCAGAAGTAAAACATCATTCTGAAGGTTGTACTCTACTGCATTAGAATGAGTGAACTTTCTTCTGCCAAATTTAGTTTTTATGGAATGCATTTATCATAACTTACCATAACTGCTCAAGTGCAAAGACCACCTTTATACACAATGATTTTCCAGTAAAATTTCAAGTGCTGTGACTTCCAGAGGAAATCACAACACTTATTTATTTATCTTTCTGAAAATATCAGTGCTTCTGAACAGTGCCTACTGACAGACCAAGCACAGAAATTTTATTTAAGGCAACAGGAAAAAGCCAAATTTTAAACATTTGGAATCCCACTTTCTACAATTTCCAGACATAGTTTCCTCATGTCTAAAAAGCCATGTTTGTTGTGGCAGTAATAGCTATTTTACATAGCCTAAATAAGCATTTCACTGATCACTGCATTTGGAAACAATGCAGTGTTCACTAAAATCTTTGCTGAACTTGAACTAACTGCCCAGAGAAGAAAGACTCATGTCACATCATTTTTTTTTTCCTTTACATACCCAAAGGTTTGATAAAACACTTTAGAAAAAATATATGATATTCATCACACTCATTGTTTATTGTTTTCACTAAGTACAAGGTACATATATTTTGACTTAATCAATATTTACCAGTATTTATGTGATATATAAAATGAGCATTATTTGCCTACAACAAATGAAGTTAGTATACCAATATTCCAAACCATTCTGGCCAAAATGTAGGGCAAAGCACCTTACAAAGTTAAGCCCTATGACACACATTTCTGCTCAGTATCATCTTACTCTCCCTCTTCAATGTAACTAAACCATAATTAGTAATGCAAAAACATACATTTATCAGAACTGTTTATTTTAATCTGTTTGTAAAAACAAACCAGAAAAAGCCAGCCACCAAAAGCTCCCAGATGTAGGAGTCTGGCAAGTGTAGCCAACTTCAGACAGTGGGTAGCAGAGCTTCAGACAGAAATATTGTGCTTGTACAGTAAAATGGACCAATCAAATAAACCCTTCTGGCAGTGCTCTCATTTATATTTCCATTAGACAGTACAGAAAAGTAGAATTACAATAAAATCTGAGGTTAAAATCTTCTCTCAAGAAGAATGGCTCTTTGTTAGTTAGGCTACCTTAGGGCTATTACTTGCTGATAATTTTTTTCCATAGACTTGGAGTGCTTTGTCAGTGCTTCAACAGATTTAATATGCATGGAGTGTAAAAAGACCTAACCTATTACTTTCATTAATCCCCTACTGGCATTCTGAACAGAAATTTTCAGAATTCTGAAGCAAACAAAAGGCTTAACTTGATTTTATAGAATGGTAATTTTGTTTCTCTTAGTGACTACTGTATTCCCATTTGTTAGTCAATGGGCATTTTATGCATACACACAGTAGGTGAACACCTATTTATGAACAAATGGGGATTAATTATGATGACAAGAGAGAAATCTACTGTGAGCCAAATGATGTTAAACCAACACCTTATATAATATATTAATAGAAATTATTACAGGGTCCTGAGACTGACTGTGTGTGTATTTAAGACATAATCTTTATACAAGCATTTCCAGAATCTCAGCCAAAACAGTTACTGTAACTATGACACCTTAATAAATGCCAAACATAACAACTTAACATTTACAATGAAGAAAGTAGCTGCCATCTGAGACCTTCGACTTCTTGGAAAGTTTATTTTATTGCTAAGTGTAGACTCATGTCTTTCACACTACAGCATGAACACATCCTGTATTAAGAAATCCTAGCATCTACACTCATATCTCCACACAACAACCTTTTATAAGCTTATTTTTTTGTTGTTGCAAAATGGAAATAAATAGTCTTCCTGACCTCTCTCTTTTTATGGAAAGGTAATCAAGGATGAACTATCTTGGAATGCAACAGATTTCAGTTCAGCTTTATTCAGAATTTTCTTTTTACTTTTACACAGCTAGGTTCTCAGGCTGTACTTTACCAACTACATAGAAACTCAGATTGTCTCTTGGGAGCTTCATCTACAGAAGCTGATTTTGTCTATGCAAATGTTTCATTGTTGTAGAAAAATCTTTTAAAAAAGCCCTGTATTAGCAATATAAAAAGATGGCGGATCAATCTGAGGAATTACATCAGAATTAGTCTCTCCAAACTGCAGCTGAAGCACATAACCATGAAATTATTTTCCTGAAATCTTTTTAAAATGTCTTCAGATATGGAACGTAGGTTTCCTTTCATGAATCTCCAGGTCTCAAACCAAAATTCAATAGAGAATTAACTGCATGTTAGTTGCATTTTCCTGAACAGAAAAAGCAGGTGAATGTCCCTTTTAAGACTTTATAATCAAGGTGTAAATGCTAGCAGTGAAGTTCCCAAGAAACCTTTACATTTAACTGCAGTTTCCCATTCCAGAAGTGGTTTTCACCTCAAGGGTCCTGGCCCATACTCTTTTTTAAGTGCTTATTTGGACTTGAACTCCAGATTAAAGAAACTGTTGAGCTGAATATGAAGAACTACTTTCTCAGTGTCATCATGTCAGCTATAGAAGATATATTCCCACCATTCTAGACTCCACAGGTTCTGGGGCTGCTATTTCACATTTTGTTTGATAAATCACACTGTAGCCATTGTCTTTGGAAATAAACCACAACTTTCTAAAAGTGAAACATCCATAATTATTTTCAGCAGAATCACAATTAAAAATCCTGGTACCTAATAACACAACAGTATTTTCAAAAATAACTACATAAATTACTTGAAAACAGTGGAATGGGTACAGTCTGCTTCTGCTATGAGTTACTAAAAAAAAAATAAGTCATGTTTTTAAGGATTTGAAAATCTTTGGTTTTGAATTTCACTGTTGATCCATACAGAGAAGAGGAAAATACCCAGTAGTCACACCTTTAAAAGCAGCAGATCATAATGAACACATTAGTGACAAGGTAGTTTACATCTGACATTGCTTTAACTGTACAGCTGATAAACTTAACTTTCCTGTATCAAACTAAAAGAAATCTTGTTATAACATCATTTGTTGAGGGACCAGAAGAGTCAATATACTGCCCACAGGATGAAAATGTCTTTCATTTGCAGCTTTATGTTTGAATTCAAGCCAGTTGGAATAACAAGTACAACCTTCCATCCCAATTAAGAAAAAAAGCCCAAAACCAGAGAAACCCAAAAAAATCTGGCATTCCTTCAAACACACAAACCAATTAATTAAATAATCTGTCCAGCCCTGCATGGGTATGTCATGTAAATTCAGTGTACCTGCCACATCCTCACCTTTCCTCCTCCCTGTGGATGTTGCACATCCTGACCACTGATCATTCTTCCCTTCCTACCACCTCCCTACAAGCCAAGAAGTTGTTTGCTCATTTTCTCACACGTCAGAGACTAACTCTGAATGAAATAAATTCAGCCAGGTCAGTCAGAGTTACTTTTTCTTTTGCTTTTTATTCCCCAATGTCTTGACAAACTAAGAATTCAATACTTTAATTCAAATAGAGTTGACTGAGTCATATTGGGATAGAAGACTTCAACAGTTCAGTTCTTCAATTGAAGCTCAAACACAAAACATTCCACTAATTCCCATTGCTCAAAACATGTGCAAAGATACTTATCTAAGTAACATCCAGTGAAAAAAGGTATTTTAGGGAAAAGGAAAGAAGAAAAAAAAATTTGAAAATCCAAACACACACCACCTCTACTCTGGGGCTCCTTTGCTGCAGCACCCTTTTTGGCAGCAGGCTCAGAATCCAGCTCATTCCTTTTTAAATATACACAAAATTTTAATCATCAAAACACTGAAGTGAGAAGTGACACTTTATGCCATAACATTTTAATGAAACACCTGAGCAAAAGCTGTTTCAGCTTCTACTCCTCAACTTGATCATAAGAGAGCCACTTCCCTTCTTAAACTGTGCCTCTTGAATCACATCATTTAGTCACTGTACTTCATCACCTCTTAGACCGAGATGTTTTCTGGAACAGCTGTTTTCCTCCTAACCACACTAGCAGTATTCTTTAACAGTTTTCAGCATCCAAAATCCAGAATATCTGGTGTAAACCCAGGAATGAATGAAACAAAAATGGGACACAAAATGTTAACTCTGAAATATTTCTTTTTTATTTAACAGGATAGAAAAGGTTAAGAACAAAACAAACTACAACACCCCCCTGCCCTCAAAAAAAAGTGACACAACAAAGTTTATATTGCAAAACACACCTCTCTTCTAACAACAAGCTACTAAAATTTATTGAAGCCACCCCCACCACTGTTCATCTACAGCTAAATCCTAGCTTGAACAGAAAGAAGTTTCAAATCCAAAGTGACATACCATTTTAACTCCATCACTTGAAAAAAAAACCAAAACAAGCATAACAATCCACAGTGACTAATGAAAAACCCCACCTTTTTTTAATATTACATTATTTTTATACTATGTAATCACTTTCAAAATGAAAATTAATATCTTGTCATGAGCTTGCAGAGAAAAAAAAACCCAAAAAATCTGCTGAAACAGTCTTTATTTCTATCTTCATTTCATTTTTTCAACATATGGAACAGTATTAGAAAGAGTAAAAAAAAAATACAGCAGTCATCAGCTCAGATTGATACAGAAGTAAAAAAAACACTGATGCAGAGTTTGCTTCCACTGGGAAAAAAAAATTAAAAATATTTGAAAAAAGCATTCTAGCCTCAACTATTTAAATAAATCCAAAACCCATTATTTATTGTAAGGACAATGCTGGACAAGACACTCTTCTTGCAAACAACAGGCCGTTCAGAAACACATTTTGTTCTGAATAACATTTCTGACATTTCACATTTGCCAATATTCACTCATTTCTAATACTCCATGTTGCTAAAATTTGAACATTATTTAGAAATGAGATGTGCCAAGTCACCTTTAAAAGCAACTGGATACAAGCAATTTTTCATGAAAGAAGCCTTATTTTTTTAAAAGAAACCTGATGAGGAATTAAGTCTTTCGACATTTAACATTTTCACAGTTAACTATCTTACTGGTATTTTTCCAACAGTATAAATGCTAGTAGAGGAAAACATATATTTTATGTTCAAATTATTCCATCTGCTTGACAACAATCTATTAGGTCATAAGACAGACAACAAGCAAAAATGAATGCAGATCTTTAGCTTTTGAGTTTTACTAACTCTTACAGGGAAAGAGTATTCCTTTATGATGAGCTGGTATCTGGGAGAGCATTTAGTGACTGCATAAAAATGAATAATAAAAATACTGGCATATAAATAGGTCATGAAGCTTAAGACACTCTTCTTGTATTAATCTTACTTAGATTCCTGGGCTTTAAAGTGGAATATCACAGAACTGACAGTGGAAAACGGCTGTGGGCTGTTTACTACAACTCTAAGTTAGAAGTTAAATCACAAAATAAAAGGATTAGAGACTCAAACGGGGAAAAGCACTAGGTCAGGACTGCAATCTCTATTAATTAGGTATCCCAGCTGGGCAGTGGGTATGCAGCTGTTAACTTGATCAATGACTTACCTAAATGTCATCTCTACTGATTCGCTTATAAATTACCAGCAAGTGAGACTAATGTACAGGTGCTAATTTATTTAAACTGTTCTCTGCAGTTCTACATAGCTTTATAAACTGCATCTGGCACCTAATGTTAGCTGTCAGTTGTACTTAGACATGCCTGTCCTAACGACTCTGTTCATTAGAAATGAGCACAAATTATGAAATATTGTGAAAAATGATACATCAAATGGAATGGGCAAAGCAAATCAATTAGAAGAACTTCATAGCACATATTCACACATAGGAGAATAAAACATCCTAGCTTCAGAGTGAGGTCTATAATACCAATTAAAAAGCAATTGGTAGACTTGTGCAGAGTTATATATCAATTTGCTGGATTTTTTTTTCTCCTCCGGAAATACTGTTGTAATGCACAGCTTAACTTTTCATTCCTAAATAAAAGTATCAGTAAGAGGCAATTTTGCTTCCACAACATCCGAGGATTAGCAAGTAAGTCAACTTATTTTCCTTTTTTAAAACTTCACAAGGTTTAGCTTTTATTAAACTCTACCTAAAACTCCAGTGAAGGACAGAATCCCAGGATGTCTACTTTTGAAATACACTGCAAAGACTGATTAACAGCAGAAGACATGGAGGTATATAAGTACTCATCAGAAAGAATTACTGCTGTTCAAAATGTAAAGCTTGGTAATTCTCCTGCCAGTGCTTAAGGAGCTTTTATATTTTTATAACAGAAATTTAATTATGCATAGCAGACACTATTACACACTCTAATTACTTCCCAACACCTGATGGAATATGAAGAAATCAAACTACAGATACTTGGTATCACCAAACAAAACTACTCTTTTGGCCCCACTTCTCCATCATTTCAGAAGCAGTCTGCAAAATAGTCCCATACTTGTCACCTGCACTGCATTTGTAAAAGCTAATTTCCAGAATGAATCTGCTTTTACTAATGGTGGAGCTTAGTTAATGTTGTGCAAATGATCACAGTGCTGTGGCTTTATAAACAAGAAACCACTAGATAAATAGGTCATTTTGCATTTCTTGCTTTCTAGAAGCCTTCCCCCTAGACCCTGTCAAGGAAGGAAGGAAGGAAGCCAGACTACAGATTCATGCATTCTCCTCCCATTAACCTTTCAGGCAAACTGAACTATCAGCATCATCATTGTACTGTATTAACATGGGAGGTATTCTGACATAGTAAATTGGTGCATGTTTAGTTTACAAGAAAGTAACTCAAAAAAATAAATGTCATTAAAGGTAAGAAAAAAACACCTGAAAAATATATGGAAAGGAAATTTTATGGTTTGCAAAGAAATAAAATAGCCAATGTAAAGAAACAGCCTGGTATTACTGCTGACCTCAATGAATACTTTTACTGTCGACCTTACCCCTTACACCTAGACTGGCAGGGTCTCTGCACTGGCACTTGTTTGTAGAAGGGCAGAGAGATCTCTACGTCCCTACACAGACACAGTATCAGTGCATAGCTTTGCACTCACAAAGCTTGATTTCCTATGGATTTGTGACCTGAACTCAAGCTGCCTTTATGGATTTTCTGATACCTGATAAAACTCAAGTCTCATTTCAGTCTTTTTCTCAACAGGCCATTACTCTGGATGGCTTTACATTGCTTCCTATTTTTAGAACTTAGTTTTGAAGCCTGTCAAACATGTCTGAAATGAGCCTGTATCACAACCTACATATTATTTCTTGCCATAAGCACACTGCCAAGACCTTTCAAATGGACACAGCCACGCAGACAGAATTTTGCCACTGAGAGAGGCAACAAACAAATCTTCTCTCCCTGAAAAAACTAAACCATGGACACCTCTTGCTTTGCACTTACACATCACTACCTCTGTCCTAAGGGCCCTGCTGGCCCACTGGGCTGCCTTGGCTACAGCAGTAGAGTTGCTGCTGTGCAAAGAAAACTTCAGCCACGAGACTTCACCTAAGAGCGAATGTCACTAAATGACATTTCTCCTTCCTACCTCTGATGTATGATAAAATAAGACAGATATGACAGAAGTGAAGGGCAGGTGAGACATAAAAACCAAAAGAAAAAATAAAAAATATGAAACATCCATGCAACAAAACATTTTTCTGAGTGAAAGGGAGCTTATCTCTACATGAGCCTAAATGACAGAGAGAAAGAGGAGGCCACCCATCTGCCAGTCATGAGAGGGAATGACAATAAAACAGTATGTTTGTAGATACTGATACGAGCTTAAATTCACTTCTATATTAAAATCCTCAAGCTAAACCAGTGCATTGGTTATAAAATATCCTATAAAATTTAATATACGTTACCAACAACCACTGTATCATGCAAGAAAACCCTAAATATACACAGCAGGTCAAATTGTGAGTAAACGTTTTGAAATGCTACATAAACCTTTACAGTGCCTCTTATAACCTGAGATCAAGGGGATTATCCATTAGCACTTTCCAAAAGAACCTACTGTGCTTTAACAAGATATGGTATACAGCTCTATACAGGGATGTGTGACCTCACATGGTAGCAGAAGTAGAATGTCTATTCACAGTCACAGTTGCAATGTTTGCAATGTATAGCAGCATTCCTGCTTATTCTGACAGTTTGATTAAAATTCACAGAGAGCTGAGGGGCTCATGCTGAAGTAAAGTGCTTTCAATATCTGAAACTCTACAGTAAATTACTTCTCCAACAGAGCAACTGTACTTACATCAATATCCTCTTGGGTAAAAGTTTCTGGATCTTCTCCCATCATGTTGGCTAAATGTCTCTTTCCTAGGTTGAACTCTTCAATCTGTTTTTTAATAAATGCCTCTGTGTACTTTTCAGGTCCTGAGGCTCCTACATTTCTCTTCTGCACTGCTGTAGTGGTACAGATCAGCCTTAATGTCTAACAGGAAAAAAAAAAAGTGAGAGATTTATTTTACATTTCTGGCATAGTGAGCACTAAATAAAATGAATGCATAAATACTATAGCAAGTTATTCATACCTATTACAGGATTCAGCACATCACAGGAATAAGTTAGGAAAAGCATTATTACTCATTAAACCATTTTCTTCCAATGGTTTAACGTCCATGAACAGATAAACACATTCTAAAACCTTCACATTTTCCACATTACCATTAATTTAGAAGATTTTTTTGATGGAAAGAAACATAGTATATCCTAAGTCAGGAACATCCAGCAAAAGCAAAGAACAGCACTGATCAACAGATCCCATCACAAAAGAAAACAAAAACTACCAGCAAATAATCAGGTTTTGCCTTCACCTAAAGGCAGCCCACAACAAAGTATGATAAGAATATGTGAGGCAGCTGCCTAGTGGCTTTTCAGAAGCCACTGATCAAATACTGATAAAAGCTCTGGAAAAGCCAAGGCATGCTCCTTCCTTGTTTGTGGTGCCAGAATGGTTCTTAAGCTACTTCACTGTCTCAAATAGACCTAATAGAAAACTAGTAGGGCAGTCCAGCAGCCAATACTACCGAGCACTGTACCAGCTCAAGTCATAACCCAAAGGGCAGCTACCTTCTCAAGCACACAGGTTTGGTCTCACTTCTATCAAGACAATCAGCTGTTAAGATGACTAATTTCATTGATGCTCTCTGCCAGACAAACAGGAGCTTCACTGACAGAGCTGTAATGTCTCAATTCTGGCCTAGAGTCAATATTATGCACTATTTTGGCTCTTCAACATTAGTATTAAAGTTCTCTGCAGCTTAACTATTCTACAAACTGAATGAGAACTGATTATTTGTGTGGTCTTCTGTGGGTGGGAGGAGGGAGGGAATCACAAGAAAGAACGCAATGTGAGACAGAAAAGCAAAGACAGAAAAAGAATCACTTCTGGTTCAGAAAAATGCCAAGTTTTGTTCATCACACAGTACCCTGAAAGACTTCACCCCCATCCCTCCAACATGCCACGGCTAGGCTTTGTGAGGAGACAGTGCAGCCTCACAAGGCAGAGAGCACCCATGGCACAGTTCAGCCCTGCCAGCATTCTTTGCTCCACTCCCTTTACTCTCCCTGTGCCAGCTCTGGCACAGGACTCCTCTGCAAGCCAGCTCAGCTGCCTACATGGGGCAGAACACTAACTTCTGCTTCATCCCGACAAGCAGGCAATTCTCAGCCAAGCTGGTAAGTCTGAGCAGTTCAGAGCTCACTTTTCAGAGAACTGCCAAAGCTGCAACAAGGAGGTGGCTGAAACACTGAACTGGGAGAAAGAAATCAGAGGGGGAGTCCTTTCTTTACCTTCATTTCCTTCAGCAAATTATTAAATTGCCCCTGATGCTCTGGGAGCTGCAGCCTCAGCCTACCTTTAGCAAAACATTAAAAACCAAACACATGCAGCAATGTGAAGTAGTTAGGGTTCTGATTACAAGGAACAGAACAAAGGTAGTATTCAGAAATATTCAATGTTCTCTAAGTCATGAGAATTGTCTTCTTCAGAGCACAATTTAGACATGCTGAGAATTTTGATGGAATTCACCCTTCTGAGCTCAGCTAATATAAATAAAACACTTGCTACCCTCCTGTAACTAACACAAATACAACAGTAATCTCAAAACCCAGTTATAACCACAATATAAACGCATGTCTCATCAAAACAAGATTATATAAATGTATTTGCAAGGCAAATGGAAAAGCAGATCAAATTTGTATCTTCTGTTAGCAACGTCAGTTAGCTTACAAGAACTTCTCCCGTGACAAGAAGCTTTTGGTGTTCTCCATTACATGGTCATTTCCTACATTAAGAAGAAATGAAACACAGCTTTTCTTTCTACTTTCACGGAGTCCAGTTGGTATTTGGGACACCTGGCAGTCCAGGATGGACTGATCCAACTCATCTAATTTGCTGCACATATGTAAAGCCGTTCATGACAATTTACCCATCCATGCCTGTGTCAGTATTGCATATACAAAACGTAACAACTCACCTTGAAATTTCAATTTGAAATGAAGACTACAACATGCTGCCTTTAAACCTGTATATAGCCCATGCCTGGGCTGCAAGATAGGTCCCATGAATTCAATCAGGTTTGATATAGAAGTTAAAGTAATCTCTGAATAAGATCACACAAGTCAGAAAGGACTGACCCTCTATTCTTTCACCTGACAAAGATTTGCCCCTCAGGATATGAAATTCAGGAAAGTAACATATACCTCTGCTAGGAAAGATTTTAAAACAGGTCTAAGGTAGAATTTGGAGCTGAAGAGCCTGTTGCTGCTTCATTTTCTCCACAGCTTATATATATTGCATGTAGCACTAATGCTGGTTTGTCTCTTCCTTTTTCTTTTCTCTTTAATACTCATGTTTCCTGCGAGGAAGCATTGACATTATGAAAAGAATGAACGGATAATGAAATAATGACAGAATGAAAAGAAACATAATCAAAATTTTAAATGTACACATTTTCCACAGGCAAGGCTCTGGTGATTTCCTTATAAAGCAGTGAGGAAAGCAAAGGTATCTCCACATATTCCCTATCCTTCTCTCCTAGTCATTCCTCAGGAAAGAATTCAATTCATCTTCTAACTTGTCTTAATAGTAACTAATTATTTGTAATTCTTGTTAATGAACATATGATTCCTTATTACTTGGCCCAAAATAGCTTTCTCTCTGGTATGCTTTAAACAGAATACTTTAAAAAAAGATTGCTTTCATCTTATTCCTGTCAATTTCTATTGTAATTTTCTCATTTTTGTCGTTCTTCCCTCAAGCTATTCATATTCTTCCCTGGTTTCAATTCGTCACTAATCAAAAGTCCCTGGACACACAAACTGTTCATAATTAGAAAACAGCCTCTTATGTAAATTAATATCTATTGTATTGGGTACCTCTTCTGGGATAAGAGCACTATTTCATGGGTGGCACAGGCAGAAACTGCAAAGCACAGCTAAATGCTTCTGGCATTTCAGTCAAATAAGAAAGCATGCTCCTCTACTTTGTAGAAGAAACCACAGAGGTTTGCATTCACTTCTCACACATTTCACAAAGCATTACTGAAGACAGTAGCCTCACCATTTTAAAAATAATGCTTATTAACAACGGTCATGAAATAATATGCTCTTCCACCAGAACATGGGGGAAGGGAAAGCCTTTACTTCTGGACACAACTTATTGTGATTAACCCCTCCTTTCCAACTACATTCTGAGCAACCTAGAATTAAAACTGTTTGGCAAATCCTGATTTTACAGGAGACCATAAACTTAGAGAAAATCAGCCTATGTTAAATCTGCCTTCGGAAAAAAAAATAGCATTTTCAGAGAACTTCAACTTCTCTGGCCTATTTTCTTCCAACAAAAGAAGTAACTAGGACTGTCTGTTTACTCATCCAGTTCATTTTGCTTCACTGGAGTTACACAGATATAAACCAAACCAACAAACAGAGAAATCAAGTTTCCTGTACTTGTGGAATGGGAAGAAAGGTGGACTGGAGTCAAGAGATTTAAATTCAAGCCCAAAGGTTGTTCGTTTTACAACAAGACACAGGTACAGAGACAGAAGATGACACCAAATGACATGGCACATAGACTGTTGCACCATTTCCATGATTTTTCCATGCTCTAAACTGCAGACTTCAACCACCTCCTTTTCAAAAACCATGCAGTGCACAAACAAATTTGTACCAAGAAGTTATCTCTGGAGTAGGACTTCACTAAGAGATGTGGAACTGGAGCCCTATAACCACATCAGTATGCAGGACAAAAGCTGCCCAGTGTCCAATACTCCATCTACAGGCACAGCTGCTGCTACTGAACCCAGTAGACATGCAAGACAGTCCTCTGTTAACTTGTTGCAAAAGAAAAAACATTTTTTACATAGCAATTATACAGAATATAAATGCTCAGAGCCATCCCAATTTCTAAATAATTGCTTTTTCCTCAGTAAGTGAGTTTTGGATTTCTAGAGCACTGTTTTGCAAAAATGTGTTTTAATTGATTTTTTTAAAACAACATTGGTATAATCTTATATTTTAGTTGGCCTACAAACTAATTATGTGAACCAGTATCAGATTGATGTCTCAGAAGCATTATGCAAAATACACTGGAAAGCATCACAAGATGTCAGCAAATACGCATAAGTGATTTGCTGGGTTTTTTTAATACCTGATTTCACAAAGTATTTTATCAGAAGAAGCTTTTTTTTCAAAATTAAGTCCCTTGGCAGGTAACCACAGAACCGCATCTCACCTGCTCAGAAAAGCTCAGAATGCTTTCTGTGCATGTTTAACCAAATCTACATATTAAGTTTTGCTGTACAGTGGGCAAGTAAAAAATAGCTCTAAATGCATCAATCCATGGCAAAACTCAGATGTGTATATCAGGGAACAGAATTCAGATCTAAGTTGTTTTTAGGCTCAAATTTTCAGGTACTAAGAGGCTTTCCAGTTGTATCCTAGTTAACAACTGCAAAAAAGGCTTCTCTTACATTTCAAGGTTGTAGTTCTGAAAGTCTGTCACCAAGGTACCATAATCTCTGTCTGATATCAGTACATTTAACATCTACAGTGATTTAGATAAAGTACTCAACCCAATCAAATTAAAGAGGAACTCTGAACTCTTCTGCTGAGAATAGCTATTCAATCACATCAGAGTGAATGATAGATAGTAACTAAGCTAGATCCTTTTTTCTTTATTAATAGCACTACATCTCTGCCATTTTCTTATTGGAAGAATAGGAGACTACACCTGTTGCACAAGGGAACTGGAATTACAAAGTTCCTCTTCCATTTTGCTTCTCAATGTAAGAAACTTTAAAGTTAAGAAATTAAATATTTTCACCCACTAAGACAGACAAGAAGTAATGAATGAAACAACTGCAAGGTATTTTTAGGACAAGCATCATAAAAAAATTCCAAATAGTCAGGACAGGTAAGTGTTTAACGTAAGAAATCATTATAGCAGGTCAGAACATGGATACGTCAACTTCTACCCTGTTGTCAAACACAGCCTGTATGAGAGGCACAAGGACAGGACAAACAGGTAGTGATAATTTTCCCAGGGCACTTGCCTGGTTTCCAGCAATCTGTAGTTCAGGCATGCCACTATCTTCTTTTTTAATGGTGCTCAGTGAAATGGTCTTCCAAGTTTCTCAACTTGCTTTCTGTATTCACATAAATGCTTGCCATCCTGAACATTTTCACCAAACAGTTCCACAAGTTAACTACACCTAATAGACAGAAGAGTCCCTAAGGTTTCTGGGCTCTGTCTCCCATTAGTTGTCCTCATATCCTTTGGTTCACAGAAAGCTAGACAATTTGTGTATAGCCACAGGCTTAGGTACTGATCCCCTCTCTGGGGGTGAGAGGAATAAATGATCCCTCAAGGCCCCTTGCAGTCCTGCCTTCCTCTGTGACTCCTCCTTTGAGAACATTCTCCCATTTACAATACAAATCTTAAAACTTAAGGATGTGCCTCGCCAGGAAAACCAAGTTACTGTCATAATCATACTTTTGACACAAGGCAACCAAAGCAACACGAACTATTCCAACTGAGAATGAAATCAAGTACTAGAATATTTTCAGCTTTATTCTTTGTCATTCCTTGCACACCTTAAGAGCATGTATTCCTGACTGCTGCATAAAGAACTACCTACATGGGCACTAGGTCTTTATCCCTAATGAGTCAAGTTAATCTAGATGTAACCAATATAAATAGCTCAAATTGCTCCTTCTGGTGTTACATTTCATTTTCTTACTGCGTCTTCTGTTACCCCATGGCTTGGTTTAGTTCAGTCACCAACAGTTCTTCAGCCCATATTATCCTAAATTACTTTGTAACTTGAAAGCATTACCAGCAGGCCTTTTTATCCACTTGCTGCTCACTGATTAAATATATATACAGGTGTATCAAATACTACTGCACAAACAATACTGACAGCAGCTAAGCTTTTTAATTAAATGGCAATCAGCTGAACATCCCTACCCCTCAAAACAAAATGAGTCTATTTAATCATAAGTTACCTTACTTGTGGAGCACATTTCTCTCTCCACTGCAGGTATTCAGAGACTTGGTCCTTGTGCAACACAAGGTCCCTTGTCTAGAGGGACATGCCCCTGCCTATGGCAGGGGGTTCGGAACTAGGTGGTCTTTAAGATCCTTTCCAACCCTAATCTTTCTCTAATTCTGTGCCTCATGATCTATTCACCTGCTGATCAAACGCAATTGACAGAATCCCAGCATTGTCAGGGTTGGAACAGCCCTCTAGGATTATCCAGCCCCTCCTGCCAAGGCAAGGTCACCTGGAGCAGGTAGCACAGGAATGCTTCCAGGTGGCTTTGGAAGGTCCCGGGGAGGGAGACTCCAGTCCCTGACAACATCAACGTAAAGAAGTTCTTCATGTTGAGGTGGAACTTCTTGTGTTTTAATTTATCGTTCAAAATTATCAACCTAAAAACTGTCATCTTTTGCGCTGGCTTTACTCTATATACCGCTCTGTTAATTCTAGGCTTAAGCAAGCTTCTTCTGCTCCACATCAAGGGAAGCAAACACAGCTCACGGAACAGACAACCTGAACGCGGCGCCAGCCCTCGACACTGCCCACCCACGTAGAGCTGCCTCAGCCCCGCCGGCCCAGGAGCAGGAGCAGGGGCAGCAGCACAGCGGGGCCTCCCAGGCAATGTCGCCCCGTGAGGCCGTTCCCGGCGGGGCCATTCCCCTTACGGCCGTTCCCGGCGGGGCCATTCCCCTTGGGGCCATTTCCCGGCCCTCACCGCCCGCCCGGCTCTCACCTGCGCGCGCGGCCCCGCGCCCCAGCGGCGGCACAGCCACCGCACGCGCCCCACGGCCGCCGCCATGACCGCGGCGCTCCGCCCTCCCATGGACGGGCGGGGGCGGGGCCGGGCCGCGCCTGCGCGCTGCCGCACCGGCTGAGCGTATGGCCGCGGTTCGGAGCTGGCGCCGCTTCGGCGTTCCTGAAATCCAGCTCTGTCGGCAGAGAGCAGGGCTTATACCCGGAGTGACATTCACAGTGGCCACCAGCTCAGCAGGAACCCCCGGCGCGGCCTCCTCTCTTGGAGGGACAGCGCTGAAAGCAGGACTCCTGTTTGAGTACGCAGCGCTGGGACTTGCCCCAGTGTCTGGGCAACCGCACTGCTCTGGAGATTTGTAACAAAAACCAGATTTCACCTTCGCACTGAACTGGTCTGTTTGGGGTTTTCCCATGGGGAAAAAAAATGAATGAATCGCAGGATCAAGTAAGTTGGAAAAGACCTCTGAGGTCATCGGGTCCAACCAGCAACCAAGCAGTCACCGCCGTGCCAGCTGGCCCGTGGCACTCGGTGCCGCGTCCGGCCCTTCCTTAAACACCTCCAGGAACGGCGACCCCCACACCACCGCGGACTGCCCATTCCAATGTCTAATCACCTTTTCTGGGAAGAAGTTCTTCCTAATGTCCAACCTAAACCTCCCCTAGTGGTTTAAGCTTAAGTTCATGTCCTCTTGTCCTGCCGCGGGTTGCCTGAGAGAAGAGGCTGATCCCCAGCTGGCTGCAGCCTCCTTTCAGGCGCTTGTAGAGAGTGAGAGGGTCCCCCTGAGCAGCCTCTCCTCCAGGACAAACAGCCCCAGCCCCCTCAGGTGCCTCTCATAGGATTTGTGCCCCAGACTTTTCACCAGCTGAGTTGCCATTCTCTGGATGACATATTTTAGAGACACAGAGGTCATCTCTTGCTGAGGGGAGGCTGGTGTCAATCCTGTCATCTCCCAAGGTGATGACAGTGTCTCTGGATACTGAACCTTGGAGCCTGAGAATGTTCCTGGTTTCTCTGAGTAACATAGGATATACCCTTATAGGTGATTGGATTTTGTCAGTAGTTTTTTCTACCATGGGAGAAGTGGAAATGAATTAAAAACTGAATTTAAGAAGCTTTTCTTTAGGACTTAGAGGGACCTTCTTTTTAAGAGGAGTAACTATTTTAGAGGAAATTCTGGAAATGAATCTCTGCTTTTCCAGGTTTATTTTTCTGTCAAGTTTTTAATGGGTAGCCCTTGCTTCCCCCCATGCAGATGAAAGTATGATTTCCTCTCTGGGTTATAAAAGAGATTGTAAGAAAACTGGCCATGGGCAAAGAAAGTCATCCATGCAGGGAGGTCAAGGAGGAACTGCCTGGAAAGGTGCATTCATTCTTGCCGTTGCCAGCTGTGAAAGTGCAAACACCAGCAGTTTTACTGACATGGATACGTGCAAATGATTGCCATGAACACTGCACTGAAGGAGAGCAGTGAAGTGTCTCTCCTGAGCACACCTGGCCAAGCGCTGGGAACTGCAGTCACGCTCTCAGTCACAGGGTGTGTTGGGATGTCATTTAGCTGCTAGCTGTTTCTCAGAAGAGAAAAAGGGGGTTGGTTCAGGGTCACAGTCCCACTGACCCACCTTCTGGAGCAGCCAGCAGAGCTGAAGGGGTGGAGAATGCCAGCGATGAGTATGGCCTCTTTGCGGCCTATGGTGAATCCCATCTGCCATCTGTCGCCCCGCAGCTTGGCTTTGTTCAGCAGCAGAGGAGCTCTTCAGTCCTCACTGTGCTCAGCAATTGTTACTTCTCACCCCTGTCAGCTCTACAGAAACAAAGCGCCGCTGGAGTGAATGGGTTTTATTCCCCACATATAATTAATCACCAATTAAGCTTGAGGAGCAGGCCACCTATAAAATATCGCCCACTTATTCTTGGTAACTAGTTGATCTAAATACAGCTTCCGTGATTTCCTACATTTTTCTACTCCTAGGCTCACTGTGAAAAAATCCTAAATGCATTTGCAATCTGGAGCATGATTTTCAAAGGCATCGAGTTTGTACAACCCATGGCTTCAGCTGGAGGTTACAGAACTGCTCATGCATATTGCTGAATAGAGACTGTGGTGTATGTGAAGTCCAGCTATTAAGGGCTGTGTTGTGTTTCTCTTGGATCATTAGAGCTGTCAGCCCTTAGAAACTGATAGCTGCCCCGTCAAGGTGGAAGATTTTTGCACAAATTTCAGGTGTATTTCTCAACCATCCTGCTTCTACCAAAGAGTTTGCCTGCCCCTAGGAGACACTTGTACACTGGACACTGAGTGACCATTTTCTAGACTAATCAGGAGTGCATGTAGCTATTACTTTGGATGTTTTGAAATGGAAATATACTTCTGTGGTAGGCATGGCTAGCATGTTCCAAAAAGATTCCCTCTAGTGGAAAGATTCTGCTTCTGCTTGGGTGGCAGGGGTCTGGGTTTGCCAGTTCAAAATCAATTTTTAGCACAAATGAATGTAGGATAAAAATGAGCAGAGGTTATTTACATGCTCAACCACCTGCACCCCATCCCTCTGTCAAAATTTGTTAAGACAGGGGTGGAGGGAAATGCAAGAAAACCATGTTTAATCTACTTATCCCAAGATTAACTCCAAAGGGCTTCTCTTTCTGTCTCTGTGTTTAGTTGACAGACTGTAGATGCTTACCTAATCCATGCAAACTACCCCAATGCTTCACTAAGCCCTCTGAGGAACTTTAGTCACTTGTGTGGCAGGGATGTCCTTCTTGAGCCCAGCTGGGCAATGTTCTGCTCTGGGGACCTGTTTCAATTGTGAGCCTGATTACCCATGTCCTTGTGTCACCTGCTATTCGTGCTCTGCACAGTCACAGAAGTGGGGACTGTTGCCTGCAGCACATTACCTGCTTTTGTTTTTAGACTTGGATAATGAGGGGTAAGTGTATCATTTGGGACTATTCAAAGCTTTGGAGTGCTGTCTTTGATGGCCTGACATAAAGAAGAGGGTGCCTCTGTGTGGGGCTTGAGGTTTCTGAAGTGAAAAATCACTGAAAGCAGAATAGGGAAACCAGGCTGAGCCTGTCACATGCATGGGTCGGGCACAGTCGGAGGGGCACATCTGTAGTATATGCAAATTCTTAAGCACAAACCTAGGGCTAGCTCCAGTCCAAAGCTGCTGATTGCTTATGATGCCAACCTACATGCAGACAACCCTGAAGTGAGATTTGGGGTGTTCTTTTGTAATCAGAGTTGGGATTTGTAGATAGCATGAGATACTAGTATGGTTAGCAGGTTACTAGTATGGGTATTTGCAGATAGCAGGTTGCTAGTATGGGTAGTGTGAAAACCAGTTGCTTGAGGAGCAGG